CCCACAAGCCATGTGTCTGTTGGTCCGGTGCGAGGCGGCTTATACATAGACCTTCCGGAACGACCCTCGTGGTACACGGAAGCTTAGGAATCACTGACTCCGGGCTCTTTGCAACAATAAGTGTTGTGCTACAATTAGAATACGTGCAAGCGACGAAGATGTCTTTTATTCTTAGAGCAGGTCCTCTCGAAGCCCAGCGCCAAAATGATAATCATAGTCTACATGACATAGATTTCGGGGCCTCTCTCTGCGATCTGCTCTTGTGAGCTCGGAGGAGCTCCAGCGTCGAGTGCGGTCTTTTGGTCGACGAGCCTGAGACTTCTTCTTTCTTGTAATCCGTCGGAGGCTTTTCACCTGAAGGGACCGGGGTCTATTTCTTGACCGTGTTGCGCTTCCTTCGACGATTTACGCGTCTCTTGGGAGGAGCACATGTGTCGAGAAGCGACGACCAGTCTTCAAATATGAGCTGCTATTGTAGGACTATTTGACAGCTGCCAAGACATTTTCAATCCATCGGTGCTCTGTGTCGGATGACGGGGAAATTGTTCGACCATCGAGCTTCTTGTGTCGAGAAAGTCTCGAACTCCTGCGGAGCATCGAGGAGTCCGAGACTGAAGGAGAAGACGACTGGCTCGTCTATGGAGCCCTTGGAGGCTTCGGGACGGGAAGACGGAACACGGAGCAGAATCATCATTACCATGGAAGAAATTGTCGTTCGTTTGCTGAGAATGAGGCATGCGGATAGGGATTTTCAATGCAAGCACGCGAAGCGAGGGCGGAGCACAAGCGGTGCCCGTCCTGGGTTCCGGCTTCCACGCGATGAGGCCTGCCTACGGCGACGGGGAATGAGCACTGTCTCTTGCAGAGGAGCCGGAATAGGATATTCGCAGATTAGCTAGGTCAGGGAGGAGATTGTTCTCGGCCAGTCGATGGCAGCTCAGCTAATACTAAGACCGCGAGAAGAGCTTCCTGCCGGAATCATTCTCAGCGTGCAGGTAAGCAGCAGCCGTAACCTAGCCAAGAGCCTCTCGCTTCGGACAACAATCCCCAGCTCTCTCGGCGGTCCGCTCACAATCATGTTGGAGCTGCCAGCCGTTTTGGCAAAAGAAAATAAAGCACGAGGAACGAGAAAGGAAAATAACGCTCCAGGGGCGAACGAGCAGCCGCAAGGAATGTAAGAAGCTCCGAGACCAGTAGATCGAGGGAATAGAGGGAAATTGAGCAAGCAACGAGAGACGAGACGCTCACGTCAATGGGGAAGAGAGGGTCACTAACGTCTTACGCCGCGGAGGCAAACTTGCGTGCGAATACATAGACGCTGGCCAATTTTTGGCTTGATATCGGCTCGAATCCAACACACGAACTCAATATTGAGGCTCGATCCAGGCGTGGACTAGCCACAAAAACTCTGCAAACAATTCTTCCCGGTCGTTAAGATCTAGCGAAAACGGGCCCGCGCCGTGCTGCTGCCGAGAGTGGTTCTATTTTTAGGATCGGCTTTCACGCTCCCACGATACGGCGACTTCTGACGGAAAATTCCAATCGGCGTATTGTGACTTGCTCTCTCTATTGAGGAAAATCATGCGGCAACCTCTTTCCGACAGTGTTCGGCTCGATGGATTCGAATACGGCCCTTAATTTCGATTTTCCATCCGGAGTCGCTGACGCGTCCGGCTCCCAGACTTCGGTGTTCCGCTCGTTTGTCGGGAGGATCGCGATTCATCAGTCGTTGAGTGGCTCGATCTGTGCCCTCAGCGCATTCATATGTCGATAAAACGTTGAATATAATTTTTCGGGCCAGTGACATCCCATTGAGCGAGAGAAGTTGGGCCTTTGACCTCAATTGGATAGCAACATTCCGAGTTGTCTGGGCTCGTTCCGTCAACGGAAGCAAGGAAACGCGCTCGATGCGGGTCAGTCCGTTTAACTTATCATTCATGTGCGAGTAATTTTTCAAAATTCTTCCAACGGCGCAAGAGCCAAGGTTCGCGAGAAGTTGACGGAGGTAGTTGCTTGAGAAAACCATCAGGGGAGAGGATCTTCTGAATGAATCCTTGATAAATGAATCAATGACCGAAAATTATAAATCGATGCTCTGGTCATTATCCATACGATGCAGCGGGCGCGGCGCCGGAGAGCCGTACAGCGGGCGAAGAAATAAATGGGTGGGCTCGCGTACGGTTTCTTGTCGGGAGTCTGTCGGCGAATCCAGGGTTTGCTCTGGCTAAACACGCATTATCCTAAAGTCTACTGAGAGAGGATGCCGGGAATGAGAAGAACGTAATCCGTATGAGAAACTTACCCGGCGAGAATGCCGCGCATGAGGAATTTCTGGCGAAAAGAATCTCTCCTATAAGAAATTCCGCTCACAACACAGGGAACTTTCGCTGCGGGAGCTCCTTTGAGTACGCTTCCGTAACATTCAATTCGCTCTACACGGTGGTATTCCTGGAAACGACGGCCCTGACACAGGAAGTCCGTACCAAAAACATCAGCACGGAAGTTTTCCAATCGCCACGGGACAGCAGTACATCCATATGACCTATGCCCCGGAACTTGATTGAAACGTAATATCATAACGTGATCCCCTCAAGTCGCGATCGTACGTGCTTCCGGCTCCCGATGCGCAAATTCTGGTAGATCGCCATGCGTACAGTCGATTAGACGGCCTGATACGCAACTCACGCAGCCTATTTCTCTGAGGACAGAACCGATTTCCGAAGCGCTCGTCAGCGCTCAGATCATCAAGCAGTCGATGACAGAGCACTTTCCGAATCCGCATTGATCACAATTAGCAGGCGCGAGAGAGAATCGGCTACGGCTGGATCGAGCGTGAGATGCCTACGATTCATCATTCGCAGGCGCAAGTGTGGATCGAAGGTTCGAACGTTCAGCATGTCCGGGGACGCATCGCCCGATCCTAGATGAGTCGGGGAGATTTCCCTCGTGCCGGATCAGACTTTATGGAATGGTTCGTTCGTCCTTCCGGTCTCAATGCAACCCAGGATAGAGATTTGGATCCTTGACAATGTCCGTGGATGATAATTGGTAGATGGACAGAGTCAGGAGACGATCTGGGTAACCCTGCCCTGTCTTCTGATTTGGAAGTATGGGATTGAGTCTTAGAGGAACTCTCTAATCAGAATAAGGGATGCTCTCGTTCAGATTTAACATTCATTATTTATCCTCAACAGATTTTCATTTGGAAAACGTAGACGATTTACATTGTGATTCCTCTTTATTTATAAATGTATGTACATCTAGGCGTAGGTATGTACCTATTCTCCCCGAACGTCGCGTCGTGGGAAGGAATCTCCATTATACACGGAAATTTACGAAATCGTCTCCGATTATACACCATAATAATTCATAATACTCATCATAGGGGCGGTGAGATAAGGCCTTTCTCCCGGTGCACTCGACGACTTCGCCACCGGGTTCTACGAGGGAAATTCCAGGTTCCCATCGTTCGAGAAATGCAAGACGACTCCGATACTTGAGCTTCGGATACTTGTGCGGCACTCTGATGTGAGTGGGATAGAGCTCAGAAGCCGTTTGCAGTCATAACGATACCTGAGGCTCCTACGACGATAAAATAATGAAGAAAAACGAAATGGATCAAATCTATTCCGCAATCGGAAAGCATAACCAACCCATTGAAACATAATATGGACTTCAATCACGGCCTGCTCCGACTAGAGACAGCTGCAGAATACAGAACGCGGTTTCCAATGCTCGCGGCGGGGATCCACCGACAGAGAGTGAAAACATTGCAAAACATTTCTCCAGATCATGAGGATCGAATGAGATGTCTCCTGGCAGGTGGCTAAAAACGGTCGGTATTGGCATCAACACTCGACTCGTATATACAATTGTGTACTTTTCAGATCATGGGTACCGTGGCACCTTTGGTTCCTTACTTCCTATCTCACTCTAAGCGATACTGCGACTTCCTCTTTCGACATCATCCATGCGTTGCTGGGAGCTCCGACAACAATCAACAATTTCAGCAGGAACGAGGAACGCTAGCAGATGAATTATTCCGCCTGTCACGCTCCTGGACTGGATGTCCCTGTCCACTGATATGACATGCCGATAGCGACGATTCGGCCTGAATTCAGGCTCCCGTCGATCATGTTCATTCGGTCGCCGTGTCCTCTCTGACTGGCCATGATGGGTCGGTGTTCGACGTCCACTTTCGACCCCGCGAGTATCCATGGAATGTCCGAACAGCATACACTGGGGCACGAGCCTCCGCTACGCTCCGAGCGGGGTCTCATCCTGAGAACCGCATGTCGGGTAGCTTCGACCGCTACCCCGGTGAGAGCGGTGCCGGTGGTGCTTCACGCTCAGGAGTCCGCGGGCTCATGCGTCTGTTTGCTCAAGTTTTCAGGGGAGCTCCGCTTGGCATTCCCGAGGAGGCACATCCCCGGACCGTGACATTCGTGACGTCTCGTCCCTCGGAATTGGCGAAATGAACGAACTGTATGGATGAAGGCTGCTCGTCCATATTTTCGCGCTTTTCTCGGTCATGGAGAATCCTCTCAAACTTCCGGGCGGGTTCCATGGCGTTGGAGTGAATCCATTGATGATATCCATTTGCAGATACCATTGGTCCCGAGTTCGCGACGTTCCGATCGAAACGAAGCCCGGACGGCGCCCGTGCTCTTGCGTCAGGGGGGGGGGAGGTATGCAAACGGACCGGAGGCCAAGAGGATTCCGTTCGATATGAGCGAGGCTCCTTCGGCGACTCGGGAACCACTTCTCGACGATTCAGATTGGCACGTTGAATTCAGCTGACGACGAATGTCCTGGGATTCTCCTTCAATATCCTAAGGAGTAGTCGAATACTTTCTTGCTTTACACTACGATTATGGTGGTCGGCAGACGAGCTGTCATCCTTAACGGGTCAATGTGCAGTGCGAATATGTTGCTCACAACGAGGTTTGCACTTGTCCAGCCGCGGAAAATTGCATCGCTGGCGTAGGGCAGCTCCCGGGTCACGGTCTCTCCGGATGATGTCCTGGAGACGTTTCCCGGGCTTGGACGTCAGCCCTGTGACGATACGTGGAACGGAACGACCAAGACACCACGTCCTTCGACGTCCCATAACTTTGGCCCCTCACGGTGTTGCTGTACAGCAATCGCCGGCGTCTCTTACCGCAACGGCACGTCAGAAGTTGCCAGAACGTTGAACGGAAAACGCGGTTGAAGACTGTGTACACGAGAGGATTCACGGTCGACGAGAGATAGCCGAGCCATAGAAAGCCTGTGCCGACGTAACTCGGGAAGAAATCGCTCCCAAGCGGAACCTGCACTACGTTCAACACGAAGAACGGCGACCAACAGACGAAAAACAAAAGGAATACTACGCCGAGCACTTTGGTCGCTCGCCGTTCGTTCAAAGCTCGCGCCGTACGCACTGCAAGAATACAAGGGCACGTCTCCGTACTTGATGCCGATCCGTTCGCTTTCGTCGACGTTATCCGGGAGAACGACACTGCCAGAGCTGGATTGCCGTTCGATGAGCAGCCGGTGCCGCCGGAGGCTGCGGCTGGGTGAGCACCGGAAGGAGTTTGTGGCGTCGGCTGCTGCAACTGCTGCGTATGCTGTTGGTTCCCGGTCGTCAGGTCCGGGGGTTTGTGGAGCTCGCGCACCGTCAGGAAATAAATGACGACCATAACAATCATCGGCAGGTAGAAGGCGCAGATCGAACCGAACACCAGGAAGAATTGGTTGTTGATCGCACACGAGTTGTTCGTGGGCCTAACGTTGTCGATATCCCGCGCCGCGAGCAGAGGCAGAGGACAGCTGATCACCGAGGCCAGCAACCAGACCCCGGTCACTCGAGTCAACACGCTCCGTCGACTGGTGTACTGAGTGCGTTGTCGGGTCCTCAAAGGGTTCCGAATTCCGATGTAACGACCGACCGAAATGCAGCACAGATGTAAAATCGACGCCGAGCATCCGAGAACGTCGCAAGTGACCCACACGGTGCAGACGAAGGTTGAGAATGGCCAATAACCTGCAATGAATCATCAGATATTTAAAATTCAATGCTCGAAGATGCCATCATTGATATTTGTCTTATAATTATAATTATAATTGTATTATCTTCCATAGAGACTGGGAGAGAGCAATGATGAAGGAAGAGGGAAAGGGAGAGGCGATAACTCAGGAATCGGGCTCCACCGCACATGGTGTGATTGGATCAAAGGAAAATGAGGGAGGCGCACTTGATACAGAGGAAGTGAGAGAGAAGGATAGCGGAGGGGAGAAACTAGAATGAAAATCCACACCGGGATGAGGATCTCTCAGTCTGTTTGTGTTCGTTGCTCTTTGTGCAGTCAAAGCAAAAAGGAACTCAGTCCGGCTCTGTCCTCAGGGGACCGAACGGTGTTTTATGAGAAGTGTTCGTTGAGCGACAATGTTAGCTCAGATAGTTGTTTGCCTGTCGCTCCTCGTCCCCTTCTGCGACGTCGTCTCTTTCCCCGTTCGATTTTTCTTTCTCCACGTTCGGTCGCGGATCGCTTCGCCGTATCACGGAGACCAATGGTTAGCTCGGCTATTTTACCGTCTCGTTCGCGTCTCGGCCCATCCATTCGGAAAGCCTCATTCATTCGAAGACTCAGTCATCCATGCACCGCCCAGTCCTCCGTTCGCTTCATTGGAGTTTCTCGCCGTGATGTTTGCCGGCGAGTCGGTAGGACCTATTCTTCGTCGTCGTCATCGTCGTCGTGTTATATTGTGCGCGAATCTCATGCAAGCAGGTCGATGTCATTCATCACCTTAACGGCTTGAGAGGCCCGCTCTGTGAGAGAACGCAGCCACGACGATATCCATTCCGCCCCGCAGTTTTAAACATCTGAGGTCGCGTACATGCTACAAAACGATGCTGGCCCGGAGCGCAAACCCCTAAATACGTCGACTATACTCCCCGGGAACATGATCGAGAGCTTTTGCCTCCGCCTTCCTGTCGTCTTTCGGCCTCCCTACTCCCGGATCTTAAGGGAAATAGCCGAAAGCTCCCGAGGTATGGGAAGCGCGCGTCAAGGAACGTGGGCGCTGAGGAAGAGGTCTCATTTTTCTTCACCTCCCCGCATAATTCGGGCTTAGGAAATTCTTCGGGCCCCAAATCCGCTACACGGATACTTGTTCCTGGGAGATCCGTCGAATCAATACATCTCCGCCCGAGTCCTGCCCTCGAGAGTTTTAGGTTGGAGATTCACCAGGATCGGTAACCTTGGCGCAGGTCGGTCGGATTCGACCTCGGAGTTTGCCCGAAACTCCATGGACGGCAATCGACTTCCGCGTCAAAACGAATATGAGGTTTGGACAAGGATTGATCGGGTTGCCGATGGGGTTTGGCCACGAAGATCCTGGAGTATCGGAATAAGGGGGAAAGAGAAACCTCGAGGCCCGGCTCCTCGTACGAAGGCTCCGTGTCGACGCCACCGCGTACAACTCATGCTTGATGGAAACTCTAGTGCATCCTAAGGTCTTAGCTGAAGGCACCCAAAGTCGCCGGAAGCTTACATGAGAGGAACGCAGGAGCTCGCGGAAGGACGCAATGGGAGGAACATCCAATTGTGTTGCCCTTCGCCGCACCGAGACGTTCGAACAGAGCGAAAATAGACGTGACAATAGCACGAACACGTTCTGAGGATAGTACATTAATTCTCTTTCAACGAAGGTTTTCAATGTTTCGTGGCGAACGTCGAGCGAGCTCTGAGCGACTAACTCGTCGGGACATCGCCCTGTTTGTTGAATCCGTAATCCAATGCTTCTGCGCATCCTAGCTGATCGGCCTTTGACGGTTTATTTGAGAAGTAGCCGGCCGGCCGAGCGGTTCACTGCGCTGTGTGTTATCGCCGCTCTTGCAAAGGCTACCACCGTTCGCTCATTTGCTGCTCGTTGCTTCGATGGACCATGTGATGTTCTGTAGGGCAAATATTTGTGCTCCATAATAGAGCCTCCCGTGGCCGCCCGCCCGACCGGCCGGCGGTGCTCTGTGTGTACCATGAACCTTTGGTCCTATAGATAGTCCGTTCGACCGTCAGTGCGTAGCATACGCCGCGTAGTCATTGGGAGCGTATTGTGGACTACTCGCAAAAGTGTGCACTTATACGGTTAACACAGAGATAGTTCCCTGGCTCGCCGTCCGGGACAATCGCATTCCCTTTAGTCTTATGAAAAGTCCGTAGAGAGAATGACCAAGAGCGGTTGGAAAAAACTGTCAATGTCATCGCTCTTCATAAGATCGTCAGATCAGACTCAGAAAGGGCCCGCTGTCGGGTCAGACAAACCTCCCATAATCAGAGATGCATAACGGCTGCGATCCGGGTCTGAACGACGGACGATGTAATTATCCGTGAGCCGCGCAGGGAGCGGGAACACCTCGCGGGGCTCAGAAGTCTGGGTTCGGAGCCAGAACTAGGCGCGGAAATCCCCAGGAAAGCGTCCGTGAACCACGCGTCGACCGACTCACTCGGATCCAGCCTCGAGATCGATTCCGAACAGTCTCGGGACCTCGTCCGATCTCAAAGGCTCGAACAGCAGAATAACGATAAATTTCACTTCCGATCGTCAAGTGGAGTTCCTTGGAGATGCCCCGACAGGGAAGAGTCTCGATCCTCGATCAAAAGAGAAATCTATTCCTTCGCTGAGACGAGGAACCCTGTGGGGAGGGATGAGGAATCAGGTGAGGAAGGTCGAAATTATTTTCTCGAATGTGATTCAATTTGAGAGTTTCGTGTGAGTAGCACGCTCAGGATGGATCTCGTGCCATGGGTGCCGCTGCCGAAGCGGCACAGATTCGATCGATGCAATTCCGGGGAAAAATCCCCACTGAATGTTCAGCGGAGCTCGTCGTTCCCGAGAATTGCGTGCAGGGGAACGCGGGAAACCGTCGAATATCTCTCCGGAACGAGGTGGAACCTCTCACCGGGGAGCGAGAGTCGTCCACCCGAAGATTCCGCCGAGTTAAGTGCAGGCCCCGATCCCGAGTGGCAATGCAGCTCTGAATGAAAGCGTGATGAAACTTCTACTCCCGAAAATACTTTCGTCCACGATGAGGCGATTCGGTCAGCTTGCGGAAGTTTACGGAGCCGAAATCAGTCAGAGAAACGAATCGGCAGACAAGATAAGGGAAAGCTCAGACGGAATCGACCCGGAGGAGGCGTGGGCGACAAACGAGGAATTGATTATTCCAGGTAGCGAAGTTTCGCGGGCCTTATGGAGCAGTACAGCTGCTGTTGCGTATGCACCTAGGGGCTCCTTGGGCTCATAGGCGTTGGAGCGGGTCGCCATTCTGGGTTCCCAGCCCCATACCGACTACAATCCAGCTCGAGCCCCCTCCCTGAACAAATCCCGACTACGCGTCTGTACAGCCGTAATAGGATATTCGGATCCTCCCCATCCGCTCCGCGCTTCGGTTTGTGCGTGAGCCAGCTCCTTTCACATGCAGAGTCTAACTTTTTGTCGGGAACACTCCTCGCTTTCACCGACCTTCCGTTTTCCGACTTTTGAATCCGACCGACCGCGGCTGTTTCCACCATCCGATCGCGGAGTTCACGATCCCCACCAAGCCGTTTCGGGCCTGTTCGAAGGTCGCGGAGATGTATTCGTAGAGAATGGGGGAAGTCAAGGTGGAAAATACTATCCGACAGGGGAAAACGACGACGTGGAGGGGCTGAGGGACGTTAGGGCGCTGACGACGGTCGCGAGCGCTCAACCCGTCCAATTCCTCGGGCTCGCTTGCTGGTACCCTCCCGTATGTGAAGTAAACGACGGAGTTAGAGTATTGATCTTGAACGTGACGAGTCAGAGCTCGGCTTGGCCGAAGTCCAAAAGCTAATACTAATCAGCTGCGGCGATGATCGCCAATCTGTCTCTAGGCGCCTGAGAATCCATCGGCACGCCAACACGTGCTATTCAATGCGAAAAGAGCGGAACATTGAATGGGCCGAAATTCCAGGCTGAGTACCCGTGTTCGCTGATGGATCTCGGAAGCTGTTGCTCTCAGAACGCCACCGGCATCGGCATGCTTCCCAACGATTGGCTCTGGGATCACCTTTCCCTCTATGCGATTCAACATTAGGGAAATTGATGCATCTCATCCATTCATATGAAGAGAAATGCCAAAGAAGATATTTTCATGCATTGACGCTGTTGCGTTCAGAATGATATTTGCGTCTCAGGTTCCAGCATTTTAGAGCAGCACATGCCCCGAGCCCATCGACATACACAGATAAGTGCAATCTGTCCAGCCTGCCGTCTCGGGAATCAGGGTACCGAGGATGCCCGTTTTGTCTCATACGGAATGCACGGCAATCGGTGATAGAGCCCTGATACGCTTGAAGATTGCCTACAGTCGAAGCTCTACATCACGATGATCTCTATGATCCCTCGAGGAACAGAAAATCTGTTCGGGAATTCACTTTTTATCATATACCAAACATTGAGGATTTAATCTGGCAGACACATGAAGAGGGTTGCAAGTGCATATGAGAAACATAGGCGCTGTCGTGATCAAACCCACAAAAAACTTCCTCCAGGCATCATATTTCGTACCAAATGATGTCACCTCGAGCTGCTCCTGACGGCATGGCAGGGAAAAATCCCCTGACTCTCTGAACGCTCCAGAAGTTTTCTCGAATTATACGCTGTCGCTCCCTCAATTTAGAGTGAGAGATATGCTGCTACAAGCCCGGTGCTGTTTACCTTGTAGCGTCAGAAAAACGCTTGCGCTACAACCGAAGGCGTTCCCTTGCTCCCCGCAGAAAATCGTATTGTGTCTCCACTAGTGGAACTCAGATGAAGGGATCTGGAATCGCTCTTCTCGAGAACAATGAACCCGTACCCGTAAGCACTTCCGGCCGCCGCCGTGTCGCCCACGGTCTTCGAATTTCCTCAATGAATACCGAAAAGTCCCATTGTCTTGGACATTCGGAGGGCCTCGTCGAGAACATGTCGTCCGCTCGATCCCATTTCGCGATTCTTGAACCCACCTTCGCCTCGGACGGC